ATAATAAATTATCTATATGTAATATATCATTAAATTAATTATGAATTGCAATATTATTAATATGTAATATTCAGTATTTATGATATGAATTTGATTGCAAATTTGCATACGGATAACTGATGTGTATAAATAATATTATGGCTAATTAATAATTCTTGTTTGATTATTAGCGGATAAAAATTACAGTTTAATTACGCAACATTTCATCAACGAATTTGGTAATATATAAATCAATTCACGAACTGCGTTTGAATTATTCAAACAACATTTTGCTTTTGTAACAAAATTCAACTGCGAAGTTATTATAATTTATGACTTCATCTGAGCGTGCTTTTTGTTAACAATTTTTTTAGTTGCGTTTTTGGTTTTTAGCTGCTTTTATAGAAGTATTATAAACACGCAAAAAATGGTTCTTTATCAAAGAACTTTTTTTATGCATTTAAAAATTAAATGAATTTACTTTTTACATTTGAAACAATTTTTTTTCAATGTATAACTCACTAAAAATTAATTTTACATTAACTAAAAATTATATTATTCTTAATAATAGATATTAGTTATACAAGTCAGTAGAAAAATTAGAATTGAAGTTTTTATAAGTATGTCTAGTGATATACTTTGTAGTTTTTCATTTCACAAACTTCAAAAGGTGTCTGTGTCTAGCTTTTATGTACCTATAGGTATCGATTGGTCTGATAATGATTTAATTTTTAGTACACTGATACTAAATCCTATGCAGTACGTGAGTTAATAAATAAAGTATCACATGGTATATGACAAAAGAACTCGTTTTATGTATATATTGTTTGGTTGGCTATTGCAAAACAAAAGTCTACAAATCAATGTGATAAAATCACACTGAAAAGCGCTAGCAAACCAATCCAGTTTAACACGTTCCATTCTATTATTAGTGGCATATTATGCTACATTCATCGTGGTTTACTATAATGTCTAAAGCAGATATTTTATATAATAATTTCATCGATTTGCGTAGTATTTAACGAAGGTATTTTCTGAAAAGCGATGATGGTATGAATTCTGATCAGTAATTGTAATGCATAATAATATCATACAAATCATACAAAATCATCAGTTTGTCTATGTGTGGTGGGAATTGCGACATTTTGTCAAAAATGTTTGGATTGTTTTTAAAGGTGATTTAAAACTGATTTAGGTTTGAGGATTTGCCTGATAATAAGTGAAGTTAGGCTAGATACACCATGTCTTCCCAAATAAAAATTTAAAATAATTAATTTGATTTCATTTGATCATGTAAATTTAATAATATGAAATAATATTGTTTCAATCGAACTTTTAAATAGTGTGATTTTTTAACTCTAAAAAATTATAAAATGGTTCTATATTTTCTTTTTACTAACTAGGGTACTTAAAATATGAAATATGTCATTTCACCAATTTTAAAATTCTATTTCTAACACGATTTCACAATATGTTTGATATACGGGGTAGGTATCCAGAGTGGTTCATCTCAAATATATATGAATCTTGTCAAAAAATTTGCTATTTTTTAAATGATGTTATATTATCTCCAATAATCTTAATTTACGATTTATTTTCACACTAATTTACCTAATTTTTATTACATAAATAAAATAGAAGCCCATAGTCCACTCTAGGTTTTCGTAAAACGTACAATAGCTTTATTATGAGTAGATATTGATCTGCTAAATAGACATATCATAATTATATCCAAAGATCTTGTAAAACTCCAATCTACTAGCTGGTAATTTTTATTTATAATTTTTTTTTTCTCGTTATCCTTAAATGAGAATGATTCATCAATCGTTGGCAGTATTTTGTATAAAATAACTGTTACGAATAAATTATATATATATATATATATATATATATAAACAAAACCATAATAAATAAAATAAATAAAATATGAAACTATGTCAACTAACTTTTTTGATATAAATCATACGGCGCTGCACTGTTTGGCTTCAACAAAACGTCATCAAAAACCCTAGAGTTGCCGTATAATATAAATACTACATTAATATTCACCGTCATACTTTTGTTCATAGCTCAATAAAAGCTCATCCAAGCTTTTCTCATACAGATCGCGAACAATAAAAGTATACTGATATGAATTCATAGTTAAATTAACGATCAATACTGCTGAATAGACGGAAGAATATCACGTTTTCTATTAAAACTATTTGTAAAGAATAAATATGAATAGATATGTGATTACAATAGATGAACTGCTGAAAGAATACGTCGATTCAGAAGTAATATAAATATGGTATATATGTTATAAATGTAGTCTTATATATAAGAAGATATTATTATTAATTGCAAGTGAAGCGAGTTATAGTAATCGCTCAAAAACCGAAAATAAAATATGTGCTTGTCTTTACGCTTCAGAGGTTTCTGAACATTTTGGAATACCTTAAAAAATGTGTGTGTAGTATGTGTTTTGTATTGATATAGTATTTTTTGTCTTAGATTTCAAGAGCATGAATCAATTGATTTGAATGATTCAAAAACATTCTATACCTATCTGATTATTTTTGGCAAAGATTTTGCAGCGGTTTCGAAGATAGAATGCTAAAATCGCAGTTGTTGAGAAAAC